TCCCAGCTTGGCTTTTCCCTTTTGCTTAGTGATTTTGGGGCCCCAAGTTTTATTTTCCTTTCACACAGCGCAACCTTCACCCCACCTCTAGTCCACGTTGCCTGTTCTTGAGATTAGTTTTGTGGCTTTGCCATCCACTGTCTAGATCCTGGTGAGAAGAAGGCCCAAAGGGCAGAGCAGAGCCAGAATGCGTCTCTGTGCTGGGCTCGCCCCTCTGAATGGAGATCAGCCCTGGTTTACATTAGAGTGCAGAGGCATTTTGCAAATAGAACATTCTTCTGCTTTACCAGAGATTCTGATTCTGATGGGATGGAACCTACTCTCAGTAATACTGGCAGTGTCCCAGGTGATAGTAATCTGTATGTAGCACTGAGTGTCCAGGCTCTGTGTCCTCCGTTTCTGAGGGCTGAGCTGAGTCTGTGATCCACAGAGGGGGGAGTAGCTGTGCTCCGGATGGGGTTTGGTCAGGGCTGGGTCTGTGCCCTGAAGGGGAGCTCAGTCCAGCCCAGCTCCCCACTGCTGCCTGGTGTGTGGGGCTTCTCCAGGAGGGGAGTGAGATCTGAAGACCAGGGTGAAACATACTTGTAGGTGTTCCTGTGGGACTTTCTTCTCTCTGCATGATCTCTGGTGCAGTGGACAGCAGAGGCCCATCTTTCTACAGGGTGAGGTCTCCGCCCTTTGTGTGTGTTGTCACAGGAAGGGAGTCAGTTTTTTCTAACGTTGAGTCTTAAATTTTTTTACATACAGGGTTGATTTCTAAAGACTCATATTACGTGAGGAAGCAGCTCAGAAGAGGCAAGAAAAGAAGCCAGGCATGGCTCTTCCTCAGGTACAGTGACACTCCTTGGTGGATTCATCTGTCTCTTTCCTTTCTGAAATGCCAGGTATTGTAGTAGCCAGTCTGTTATGAGTCTGTATCGTTGTGCCTAACACGTTGGCTCGCACTCACCCATGCCTTCTCTCAGTTCCTGTCATCGGCTCTGAGATTCCATATTCTGTGACCCAGTGAAATGAACCTGGGAAGAGGCTCCACTGGGCATGGTCCTGGGAAGGGCTGACACCCAGACCTGGATGGACACGGGCTGTGGGCCCCATGGTGTCAGTGCTGCCGGGCAGCCTGGATGGTTCAGGGGCCACATCTGGATGTAAGACCTTTGTGGACGAGATCAGAGAAACCACATATGAAACACATAGGTTAATGTGCACAGATGTCTGGTAAATTCTGGAAAAGGACACCAGTAAAGAGAGATATTTTGTAACTTATTTGATAATGCAGTGGAAGCCACACTAGTAGATCAACATGTCTCTGACTCCAAACTTTTTTTTTTTTTTTTAAGAGACAGGCCGTTGGTCCTGGTGTGGTGGCTGATGCCTGTAATACCAGCACTTTGGGAGGCCGAGGCAGCTGGATCACTAGAGGTCAGGAGTTTGAGATCACCCTGGCCAACATGGAGAAACCCTATCTCTGCTAAAAATACAACAGTTAGCTGGTGTGGTGGCAGATGTCTGTAATGTCAGCTACTCAGGAGGCTGACACAGGAGAACCACTTGAACCCAGGAGGTGGGGGTTACCGTAAGCCAAGATTGTGTCACTGCGCTGCAGCCTGGGCAACAGAGTGAGACTTTGTCTCAAAAACAAAGAGAGAGAAGGTGTCGCTATGTCGCTATGTGGCGCAGGTCTGGAGTACAGTGGCACAATCCAGAGTTTACAGCAGCTTCGAAGTCTTGGGCTCAAGTGATCCATACTTTAGCGTCCCAAAAAGATAGAATGACAGGCATATTTTACCGCATGCAGCTAATTGTATGTATGTGTGTCTGTATTTATTTACTTGAGATGGAGTCTCACTCTGTCACCAAGCCTGGAGTGCAGTGCTGCGATCTCAGCTCACTTCAACCTTTGCCTCCTGGGTTGAAGCGATGCTTTTGCCTCATCCTCCCAAGTAGCTGGTAGTATGGGGCATTTGGGCGTATGCCTGTAATCCCAGCTACTTGGTAGGCTGAGGCGAGAGAATCGTAACCAAAGAGTCAGAATTGCATTGAGCTGAGAATGCACCACTGCACTACAGCCTGGTGGCAGAGCAAGACTCTGTCTCAAAAAAAAAAAAGTGTGTGTGTGTGTCTGTGTGTGTGTGTGTGTGTATCTGCTAGGCGCTATGGCAAGAACCTGGAATCCCAGCTACTTGGGAGGCTGGGGCAAGAGAATTGCTTGAACCTGAGTGTCAGGGGTTACAGTAAGCCCAGATTTCACCACTACACTCCAGCCACAGCCAAAGAGTGAGAATCAGCCTCAAAAGTAAAAAAAGATAAAAAGGGTGATAAAGGGTTGCATGCACGCCTGTGTGACTATTCAGTGACATTTTACGATGCTCCATGTTCTCAACCTTGAACTTCTCTCACTTCTCTCCACTAGGTAAACCACTGTCAATGTAGATGTGAAGCTGTGTCATTTAGGTGGTTATATTCAAAGCTGAATCCACACTTCTGGATTCAGGTGCTTGTGTTGACAGTTTTAGCTATTTGATTTGTTGCGAGTTTCCTAGCGTGTGTGTGAGGCAGTTCTCTTTAAGGACAGATGTTTTCTCATGGGACAGTGTGTTTAGTTTATTGCTGATGACATGGGAAGCACGTAGAACAGTGTTTAGCACATGGGAGGTGTTCAAACATGTCAGTTATTGCTAGTGCTGTAATTAGGACAGTTTGGTAATGATCAATGACTCATGTCATTTGGGGTTTGTTATACAGATTATTTGATCACTCCTCTATTAAACCCCATACCCATAGTTATTTCTTATTTACTATATTTTTTGAGAATGAGTTTTGCTCTTGTTGCCCAGGCTGGAGTATAATGGCATGATTTCTGCTCACTGCAGACTCCATCGCCAAGGTTGAAGCGATACTCCTGCCCCAGCCTTGCAGGTAGCTGGAATTACACATGCCGACAACCATGCAGGGCTCATTTTTTTATTTTTAGTAGAGACACGGTTTCACCACGTTGTCCAGGCCGGTCTTGAACTCCTGACTGACCTCTGGTGATCCACCAGCCTCGGCCTCCCAAAGTGCTGGGATTACATGCCTGTGCCCCAGTGCCTGTCTGAATTTCAGTTTCAGATCTTTCACTGTGGACATTGTCATATCCGAAAACATCACTCATGCTCTGTCTCATCTAGATACTGAATGTGACTTGGTGTGTCAGTAAAAGTATCTAACCAGCTGGGCATGGTGGCTCATTCCTGTAATCCCAGCACTTTGGGAGGCGGAGGCAGGTGAATGGCCTGAGGTCAGGAGTTGAAGACCAGGCAGACCAATATGGTAAAACCCCATCTCTACAAAAAAAAAAAGTTTCTAATCTTTCTATAGCAGGTATGCTGCATTAATTTTTTTTGTTTCTGTATTTCTCATAGTATCCACAAATATAAGAAATTCATACTGAGAGGGAATCATGACTGCTTCAAAAGGTGTAATATACACAACTGGGAATACATAATGTGGAGAAAAATCTCTTTTTCGATTTGTCAGACGATTCCCTACAATTAAATCCGTGCTTTCACTTCTCTCCTCTTCCCATTCTCTGTAAAGATAAGAATGTCTCAGGCCGGGCGCGGTGGCTCACGCCTGTAATCCCAGCACTGTGGGAGGCCGAGGCAGGTGGATCATGAGGTCAAGAGATCAAGACCATCCTGGTCAACATGTTGAAACCCCGTCTCTACTAAAACTACAAAAAATTAGCTGGGCATGGTGGCACGTGCCTGTAATCCCAGCTACTCAGGAGGCTGAGGCAGGAGAATTGCCTGAACCCAGGAGACGGAGGTTGCGGTGAGCCGAGATCACGCCGTTGCACTCCAGCCTGGGTAACAAGAGCGAAACTCCGTCTCAAAAAAAAAAAATAACGTCTCCCATAACCATGTGGTTAAAATGTGTTTTGATTTCAGGATCCATTGACATTCAGGGATGTGGCCATAGAATTCTCTCAGGAGGAGTGGAAATGCCTGGACCGTGCTCAGAGGACTTTATACAGGGACGTGATGTTGGAGAACTACAGGAACCTGGTCTCCCTGGGTGAGTCCAACTTCCCTCCAGAAGCGGGGACGTGTCCTTGGGTATTTAGATGTTGTGCATTCTTCATGATACCTCAGTGGGGTTCCTGAACTGAAGTAGGCATAAGCCTTATGGCAGGCTGGGTGCAGTGACTCACGCCTGTGATCCCAGCACTTTGGGAGGCTGAGGCTTGTGGATGACTTCAGGTCAGGAGTTTGAGACCAGCCTGTCTCTACTAAAAATACAAAAATTAGCTGGACGTAATGGTGCATGCCTGAAATCCCAGCTACTAGAAAGGCTGAGGAAGGAGAATCGCTTTAACTTGGGAGGCAAAGAATGCAGTGAGCTGAGATTGCGCCACTGCACTCCAGCCCGGGTGACAGAGCAAGACTCTGTCTCAAAAAACAAAAACAAAACCTTCTGGCGGACTTTAAAGATATCCAGATCTGGCCAGGCTTGGTGGCTCACGCCTGTAATCACAACACTTTGGGAGGCCGAGGTGGATAGATAATGAGGTCAGGAGATCGAGACCATCCTGGCTAACATGGTGAAATCCTGTCTCTTAATATTTAAAAATGATATTAAAAAAAAAAAAAAAAAGACAACCAGTTCCCTGTTTGCTGCTCCTGTGGTTTTGATTCAGTAGTTTCTGGAAGAGAGCTTAATGTCCACATATTATAATGCTCTCTAAGCATTTAGAAGGAGGCAGTCAGTGGAGGAATTTGTGAAATATTTTCCTCGATTCATCTGTAATGTCTTCTTTCCTCCTGAAATGTAGGCCTGGACTCTAGAAAAGTTCTAGCACGTCATGTTCGTTCCTTTCCCCCTCCCTCCGTCCCTCCCTCCCTTCCTTCTTTCCTTCCTTCCCTTTTTTTTTTGAGACAGAGTTTTTCTCTTGTTGCCTAGGCTGGAGTGCAATCGTGTGATATCGGCTCACCATTTCCTCCACCTCCCAAGTTGAAACGATTCTCCTGCCTCAGCCTCCCAAGTAGCTTGAATTACAGGCATGTGCTACCATGCCCGACTAATTTTGTGTCATTAGTAGAGACGGGGTTTCTCCATATTGGTCAGGCTGGTCTCGAACTCCTGACCTCAGGTGATCCACCTGCCTCAGACTCCCAAATTGCTAGGATTACAGGCATGTGCCACCGCTCCTGCTGCCCCTTTCTTTTTATAAGCAAGAGAGTCTTTCTGACTTGTTATCTCAATGTTGGAGCCAGGGAAAGAGCCCTGGATTGTGGAGAGTGAAGTGAAAATAGCAAAAAATATTCCAGATGGGTGGGAATGTATTACAGGTGTAATGACAGGTAAGAGCTGGGATGGGCAGAGTGAAAGCTACACCTTCAAATAGTGTGTGGGGACACACTCTACAAGTGGGAGAATTCTGTAGGAAAAGAAAAGTTTAAATCCTAAGATCTCTGAATGGACATCTCTCTTTGCCCTCACTTACCCTCTGCTTGTTAATACTGCGTTATATTTCTTATGTTTTTATTGTGCAATTTGTTTTATACAGTGTTTTTTTTTCTGATCTCAGTTTACAGATTTTCCCAATACACATTCATGTTTTATATTTTATGCACGATGAACTAGATAACTAAGGTCCATGCATATATATAGAATTGCTGTATTGCCTGGCTGTGTTACATAACTGTAGTTGTGACATCATAATTGCACCCTCCAACACCGTTAGTCAATTCTTTTTTTTTTTTTTTTTTCATTTATGTGTTGTCCTTACCCTGGTAAAGTTTTTTTGTTTGTTTCTTTGTTTTTTGACACGGAGTCTCACCGTGTCACTCCATCTGGACGGTAATGTCATGATCTCAGCTCACTGCAACCTTCGCCTCCCAGGTTCAAATGATTCTCCTGCCTCAGCCACCCAACTAGCTGGGATTACAGGTGCTCATTATAACACCCAGCTAATTTTTTTGTATTTTTAGTATAGACGAGATTTCACCATGTTGGCCAGGCTGGTCTTGAACTCCTGACCTGGTGAACTGCCTGCCTTGGCCTCCCGAAGTGGTGGGATTACAGTCTTGAGCCACCGCACCTGGACTTTAGTCAATTCTTATTTTTTATAATGCTGTGTATTTTCTTGACCTCATTCATCAGAAGGTAGTGATCTTAACATGCGTTTCAGTTCTTATATTGTGTGCTGCTGGTAAGTAGAAGCTGTGGCGTCTCTCTTAAGAGAGTTTAGAACTCTGTAGGCTTTATAAATGCACTTTATTTGCTTTCTCATTTTATCATGGGTTAAAATATTTTATTAATTTTTATGATTTTTCATACAGCTTTTGGGTATGTGGTATGCAGTGTAACTGACACATTCCTCTCATTAGTATCACAAAGTGCTACTGGTTGCAGTGGCTCATGCTTGTAATCCAGGACTTTGAGAGGCCCAGGCGGGTGGATCACTTAAGGTCAGGAGTTCAAGACCAGCATGGTCAACATGGTGAAACCCCATCTCTATTAAAAATATAAAAATTAGCCAGGCATTGTGGTGCGTGCCTGTAATCCCAGGTACTCAGGAGGCTGAGGCAGGAGGATCATTTCAACCTGGGAGGTGGAGATTGCAGTGAGCTGAGATCACATAATTGCACTCCAGCCTGGGTGACAGAGTGAGACTGCATCTCGAAAAAATAAAAATACAAAAAATTTTTAAGAAAATTTTACAAAGTGCCTGTTCTGCATGGAAATAGGTAATTTTATGACATTTATTTAGAAAAATACTGTATTAATATTTCCTTTTTTTTTTCTTTTTAAAAATGCAGTCTTACTTTGTCACCCAGACTGGAGTGCAGTGCTGTGACCTCTGCTCACTGCAATCTCTGCTTCTTGGGTGCAAGTGATTCTTGTGCCTGTGGTTTCAGCCTTTGTAGTAGCTGGGACTACAGGCGCGGGCCACCACACCTGGCTAATTTTTATAATCTTTTATTCTCAGTGCTGTGATTGTTCGGCTATGCAGAATTTCCATTGAATTTGGTTATTCTTATATGAGCTTGTTGTGAATTTACCAATATACTATATTGTACAGTCTGTTAGCATTTATTTGTATACAGTAAATGTACTATAAGTATGAAGATAACATGTTTTTATCTTCTTTGTTGAAACAGTGATATGTTTTTTGCAAACTGTTATACACTTGAGGACCACAGTGGAAAAATACTCCTTACTTTAGGCTCACACATGTTGCTGCCCTGTCAGTGTTTTGTCATGATATTGGAAATAGGATTCCATAGAAATGATTTGAAGGGCATATAATCAACCTTTATTTATTAAAGAATCTTACTCCTTTTGTGATCCTGAACTTTGAAGATTAAGTTTGGAAAGTTTAAGTATTGTTTTTTGTGTCGTATTTACATATTGCAGTATTTTTTACCATCTGTACTGAATTAGAAACCTATTCGTGTTTACAGTTTGTTAAGTATCTCTTCCAAATGCGTGATGAAGGAGTTCTCGTCCACAGGGCCAGGCAATACAGAAGTGTTCCACATAGGGTCATTGGAAAGACATGAAAGTCGTCACATTGGAGATTTTTGCCTCCAGGAAATTGAGAAAGATATTCATGACTTTGAGTTTCTTTTTTTTTTTTTTTCTTCTACTCTCTTTTTTTTTTTTTTTTTTTAAATATAAAGATGGGGTTTCACCATGATGGCCATGCCGGTCTTGAACTCCTGACCTCAGGTGATCCACCCACCTCAGCCTCCCAAAGTGCTAGGATTACAGGCGTGAGCCACCGCGCCCGGCAGACTTTGAGTTTCAGTGGCCAGAAGATGAAAGAAATGGCCATGAAGCACCCATGACAAAAATCAAAAAGTTCACTGGTAGTACAGAGAGATATGATCAAAAGCATACTGGAAATAAGCCTATTAAAGATGAGCTTAGATTAAGCTTTCATTTTCATCTGCCTGAACTGCATGTGTTTCAGACTGAATGGGAAAATTGGTAATCAAGTGGAGTAACCTGTCAATGATGCTTCCTTGGTTTCAACATCCCCAAGAATTTTTTGTAGGCCCAATTCCCATATTTCTAATAACCATGACAATTTCCTCCATTCTTCATTACTCACACAACGACAGGAAGTACACATGAGAGAAAAACCTTTCCGATGTAAAGAGAGTGGCAAGGCCCTTACTGTAATTGTAGCTCACTCTTACAGAAACATCAGATAATCCATTTAGGAGAGAAACAATATGAATGTGATATATGTGGCAACGTCTTTAATTAGAAGTGATACCTCGCACACTGTTGTAGATGTCACACTGGTGAGAAACCTTCCAAGTATGAGTGTGGCAAGGTTTTTAATCAACCATCAAACCTTGCATGTCATCATAGTCTTCATTCTGATAAGAAACCTTATGAGTGTAATGAATGTGGCAAGCATTTTAATCAAAAAGGAAACCTTGAATGTCACCATAGACTTCATACTGGAGAGAAACCCTACAAGTGTAATGAATGTGGCAAGGGTTTTAATCGAAAATCACACCTTGTACTTTATTGTAGACTTCATACTGGAGAGAAACCTTACAAATGTGAAGAATATGACAAAGTTTTCAGTCGCAAATCACACCTTGAAAGACATTGGAGAATTCATACTGCAGAGAAACCCCATACAAATGTAAGGTTTGTGACAAGGCTTTTGGGTGTGATTTACACCTGGCACAACATACCAAAATTGGCACTTTGTGCCATTTTTAAGTTTTTTGTGTTTTTATTTTGTTGAGGTGGAGCCTTGCTGTGTTGCCCAGGCTGGAATGCAATGGCGCTATCTCAGCTCAATGCAACCTTCGCCTCTGGCTCAAGTGACTCTCCTGCCTCAGGCTCCTGAGTAGCTGGGATTACAGGTGCCCACCACCATACCAAGCTGAAGGTTTTGTATTTTTACTAGAAAGAGGGTTTCACCATGTTGGCCAGGCTGACCTTGAACTCCTGACCTCCCAAAGTGGTAGGATTACAGACCTGAGTCACTGGCTCAGCCTGCCTCTACTTTTTTTTTTTTTTTTTTTTTTTTTTTTTTGAGGGGGGCGGTTTGAGGTGGAGTTTTACTCCTTACTCAGGCTGCAGTGCAGTGGTGCAATCTCAGCTCACGACCACCTCCTCCTCCCGGGTTCAAGCAGTTCTCTTGCCTTAGCCTTGAAGGAGGCTGGGATTACACACGTGCTCCACCATGCCCGGCTAATTTTTTGTATTTTCAGTAGAGATGGGGTTTCCCCATTTTGGCCAGGCTGATCTCAAATTCCCCACCTCAGGTGATCCAACTGCCATGGCCTCCCAAAGTGCTGAGATTACAGGCATGAGCCACTGCACTCAGCCCAGCTGTCCTGTGGTTTTATCCATTATTGAAGGTGGGATGTTGAAATCTAGCATTAAATGGAGCTATTTCTTTGAGTTCTTTAAATATTGGCTTTATATATGGAACTCTGATATTGATGCATATATATATTTCTAGTTGTATATTCTGGGTGAATTAACTCTCTTATCATGGTATAATGTCCTTCCTGGTCTCCAATAAAAATTTTCTGTTTTTTGTGAGACTGAGTCTCACTCTGTTCCCCAGGCTGCAGTGCAGTGGCGGGATCTCGGCTCACTGGAATTTCCGTCACCCGGGTTCAAGCCATTCTCCTGCCTAAGCCTTCCGGAGTAGCAGGGATTACAGGCACCTCCTAGCATGCCTGGCTAATTTTTGTATTTTTAGTAGAGACGGGGTTTCAGCAAGTTGGCCAGGATGGTCTCTATCTCTTGACCTTGTGATCCATCTGTCTCAGCCTCCCAAAGAGCTGGGATTACAGGCATGAGCCACCACGCCCAGCCAATAAAATATTATTGAGTTAAAACATATTTTAGTATAGCCACCTCTGCTCTCTTTGGGTGACATTTGCCTGGAATATCTTTTTTTTAATCTTTTGTGTTATTCTGTATTAAAATTTTATTTTTAGATACAGTGTCTTGCTCTGTCACCCAGGGTGGAGTACAGTGGTGTGATCAAGGCTCACTGGAAGAAATCTTGAATTCCTGTGCCTAATGATTCTCCCACCTCAGCCTCCCCTGGTCGTTGGTACAGGTGCATGCCACCATGATGAGCTAATTTTATATATATATATATATATGTATATATACATATATATATATATGGGGGGTGGGGTTGACCATCTTGGCCAGGCTGGCCTTGAACTCCTAATGTAATGATTCACCTGCCTTGGCCTCCCAAAGTGCTGTAATTACAGGTGTGAACTACAGTGCCCGATGATGGGCTAATATTTTTTTTAGAGGCAGTGTCTAGCTGTGTTGTTGAAGTTGGTCTTGATCTCCTGAGCTCAAGAGATCCTCCTCAGCCTCCTGAGTTGCTGGGATTACAGGCCCCAACCCCCATACCTAATTATTGGTTGTTATTTTTTAAACTGTAGCCTATGTGTGTCCTTAGGGCTAATATGAGTCTTCTGTGGACAACATGTAGTTAGTTCCTATTGATTCAGCCAGTCTTTGCCTTCCGAGTGCTGTGTAATATTTATATTTGATATATGCCTGATGGAGTAGACCTTACTGTTTAATTCTTGTAGGTTTTTTTTTTGTTCTTCATTTCTCATTAACTACTTTTTGTGTTTAATTGCTTTTTTGTGTAGATACTCTTTAACTTTCTTTTCATTGACTTTTTCTTTTATGACCGAGTCTCACTCTGTCGCCCAGGCTACAGTGCAGTGGTGCAATCTTGGCTGACCGCATCCTCTGCCTCCCGGCTGAAACGATTTTTTGCTCCGGCATCCTGAATAGCTGGGACTCCAGGCGCCCACCACCATGCCCAACTAATTTTTGTGTTTTTAATAGGGATGGGGTTTCACCATGTTGTCCAGGCTGGACTTTTACCTCCTGATCTCAAGTGATTTACCTTCCTCGGCTTTCCAGAGTGCTGGCCTTACAGTTGCGAGCTGCCATGCCCAGCCATTGTTAGTACTTTATGTAGTTTTTGTCATTTAGTTTTCACTAAACATATAAGTGGTTTGAGCGTGATTACAATGTGAACATAGCAACCATGTTAGTGTGGATTCCTTTCCATATGAAGAACTGAAGTGTGTTGTGTAGATATTTGAGGCGGAAGTCATTGTTGCAGGTATGTTAAACTTCTCAAAGTTATAGCATAGTAATGAAACTTTAAATGTGCATAACTTGGCCAGGTGCACTGGCTCAAGCCTGTAATCCCAGCGCTTTCAGAGGCTGAGGCCGGTGCATGACTTGGGGTCAGGTTTTCGAGACCAGGCAGGCCAACATGACAAAACACCATCTCTAATAAAAATAGAAAAATTAGCTGGGCATGGTGGTGCGTACCTGTAACCTCACCTCCTCAGGAGGCTGAGATCAGAGAATCGTTTCAACCCAGGAGGTGGAGGTTGCAGTGAGCCTAGATTGCACCATTGTACTCCAGTCTGGACGACAGGGAGAGACTTTGTCTCAAAAAAATAAAAATATAAGAATTTGTTTTTCTTGCTGTTTTTATTCTTTTGAATCCCACCTCCACCACCAAGAAATGTTTCTTAAAGTCACAAAGTGAGTGTTCTGTGTGAATATAGGTAACTTTATGTCCTTATCAGAAAAATACTGTATTAACATTTTTTTCTTTCCTTCCTTCCTTCCTTCTTTCTCTCTCTCTTTCTCTTTCTCTCTCTCTCTCTCTCTCTCTCTCCTTCTTTGTTTCTTTCTTTCTTTCTTTCTTTCTTTTCTTTTCTTTTCTTTTCTTTTCTTTTCTTTTCTTTCTCTTTCTTCTTTCTTTCTTTCTTCTCACTTTGTTCCTTAGACTGAAGGTCAGTGATGTGATCTCAGCTCACTGCATCCACTGCTTCTTCGGTTCAAGTAATTCTTCTGTCTCAGCCTCCGGAGATCTTCTTAGTGCTATGATTGTTTGACAATACAGAATTTCCTCTGATTTTTGTTATGCTGACATGACCTTATTGTGGATTATTTACCAATGTAGTATATTGTATGGTCCTTTAGCATTTATTTGTATACAGCGAATATGCTGTAAATTTGAAGAATACATAGTTTTCTCTTCGTTGATATGACGGTAGTGTGTTTTTTACAAACTGCTATGCACTTTAGGATCACAGCGGAAAAATACTCCTTACTTTAGATTTATACATGTTTGTGCCCTGTTAGTGTTTTTCATGATATTGAAAACAGGCTTCTGTAGAAATGATTTGAGGTACATGTAATTGCCCTTAATTATTTCTTTATTGATTTTTTTTTTTTTTTGACTTGGAGTCTAACTGTGTTGTACAATGGCATGATCTCAGCTCACTGCAGCCTCCACCTCCCGGGTTCAAGTGATTGTCCTGCCTTAGCCTCCTGAGTTGCTGGGATTACAGGTGCTTGCCACCATGTCTGGCTAATTTTGCCCTTTATTAAAGAATCTTATTCCTTTTGTGTTCCTATACTTTGAAGATCATGTTGGCAAGTTTGAAATAAGAATTGTTCTGTGTGTCATATTTACACATTTCAGTATTATTTACCATTTATACTGAGTTGCAAACCTATTGGTGTTTACATCTTGTAGATGTCGCTTCCGAATTCATGGTGAAGGCAACATGCACAGGACAGTGTAATACAGAAGTGTTCCCCACAAGGACATTGCAAAGACATGAAAGTCATCACATGGGAGCAAAATCTTTCCAATGTAATGAGACTGGCAAAGCCTTTAATTGTAGCTTACTTTTAAGGAAAAATCAGATAATCCATTTAGGAGAGGAACAGTATAAATGTGATGTATGTGACAAGCTCTTTTTTTTTTTTTAAACTTTTTAATTTTTTTTATTTTATAGCTACTTACTTACAGAGTGGCAAGGTCTTTAATCAGAAGCGACAGCTTGTACGCCATCGTAGATTTCATACTGGAGAGAAACCTTACAAGTGTAATGAGTGTGGCAAGAACTTCAGTCAGATGGCAAATCTTGTAGACCATCATAGACTTCATACTGAAGAGAGACCTTACAAGTGTAATGTATGTGGTAAGACCTTCAGTCACACGTCATACCTTTTTTACCATCGTAGACATCATACTGGAGAGAAACCTTACAAGTGTAATGAGTGTGGCAACACCTTCAATCAAAAGTCATTCCTTACATACCATTGTAGACTTCATACTGGAGAGAAACCTTACAAGTGTAATGAATGTGGCAAGGGTTTTAATAAAAAAGCACACCTTAAATGTCATCATAAAGTTCATACTGGAGAGAAACCTTACAAGTGTAATGAGTGTGGCAAGACCTTTACTCAAATGTCATCCCTTACATGCCATCGTAGACTTCATACTGGAGAGAAACCTTACAAGTGTAATGAGTGTGGCAAGAATTTCCGTCAGTATTCAGCCCTTGTAAACCATAAGGCAATTCATACTGGAGAGAAACCTTACAAGTGTAATGAGTGTGGCAAGTCCTTTGTTCGAAATACAACACTTGTAAATCATAAGGTAGTTCATACTGGAGAGAAACCTTACAAGTGTAATGAGTGTGGCAAGTGCTTTGGTCGAAATACAGCCCTTGTAAATCATAAGGCAGTTCATACTGGAGAGAAACCTTACAAGTGTAATGAGTGTGGCAAGGCCTTCAGTCAGACGTCATCCCTTACATACCATCGTAGACTTCATACTGGAGAGAAACCTTACAAGTGTAATGAATGTGGCAAGGGTTTTAATCAAAAGGCACACCTTGAATGTCATCATAGAGTTCATACTGGTGAGAAACCTTACAAGTGTAATGAGTGTGGCAAGACCTTCAGTAAGATGGCGAGTCTTGTAGCCCATCAAAGACTTCATAGTGGAGAGACACCTTACACGTGTAATGAGTGTGGCAAGACCTTCAGTCACATGTCATCCCTTACATGCCATCATAGACTTCATACTGGAGAGAAACCTTACAAGTGTAATGAATGTGGCAAACATTTTAATCAAAAATCACACCTTGCACCGCATTATAGACTTCATACTGGAGAGAAACCTTACAAATGTGAAGAATGTAACAAAGTTTTTAGAAGCAAAACACAACTTGAAAGACATAGGAGAATTCATACTGGAGAGAAACCATACAAATGTACGGTTTGTGACAAGGCTTTCGGGCGTAATTCAACTCTGGCAGAACATACTAGAATCCACACAGGAGAAAAACCTTACAAGTGTAATGAGTGTGGCAAAGCCTTTAGGGGGCATTCAACACTTAGTCATCATAAATCAATCCATGGTATAGGGAAGCTTTTCTACGGTAATAATTGTCATCAAGTCTTCAGTAAGGCTACAACCATTGCAAATCATTAGAGAATCCATAACGAAGAGAGATCTTTCAAATGTAATAAAGGTGGCAAATTTTTCAGACATCGTTCATCCGTTGCAGTTCATTGACAAACTTATACTGGAGAGAAACCTTACAAACGTTATGATTGTGGCAAGGTCTTCTGTCAAACTTCATCTTAGGGAAAACAGGAGAATTCATATAGGAGAGAAACCTCACAACTGTTAGGACTGTGGCAAAGCCTTTACGTTCACACCTCATTAGACATCAGAGAATCCACACTGGGCAGAAATCTTAAAATTTGATAAGTGTGGCAAGCTCTTCAGTCCAAGGTCACTTCCTGCAGAACGTTGGAAAATTCATTTTTGAGATAATTGTTCCAAATGCAATGAGTCCAGCAAACCATGAAGCATTAATTGACATTAGAGTCAATATAGCATTGACGTAAGTTTGAGTTGACTTAACATTCAGTTCAATCATTAATTGACACTAAAGAGTTTATATGAAGAGGATTCGTCTTGGCATGTTTGCTCATGCCTGTAATCCCAGCACTTTGGGAGGTCAAGATGGGTAGATCACTTGAGATCAAGAGTTTGAGACCAACCTGGCCAACAGATGTAAGCCTCTTTTCCCAGTTTGGTTTTTGATTTTTTTTTTTTTTTAACAAAAATTGATAGGAATGTTTAGGGGTATTGAGCTGAATCTAAATCACATTGGGCTTTATAATCATTTAACAATATTAATTTTTCCAATATATCAATGAGGGTTGTGGACAGGAAACCCCATAAATGCCGAGGCAGGAGTCAGAAGCCTCAGTCTGTTTCCATATAAATAATGAAGAAGAAAATAGAGATAACCGTAGTAGTTACTCATAGGTGACCTTAGTTATTCATAGGTAATCATTAAGACATATATAAATATGTGTACTCAGCATAATCTTTTACTAATGCGTCTCAGGTCTCGAAGTGTGAAACTAAGGTGACATTGTGAAAGAAGTGACCCTAAGGCAAGACGCTTTAAGCGCTCTGTCATGCCCGTGTAAGGGCTGCTGGAGGGCACCTTGGCTATGCGACAGCACCAGTGCTGGGAAAGTGCCCGCTGTTTAGCAAGCTATGGAAGAAGATGTCGGGCATGTCTTCTTCTTCCCAGGAGCTAGGAGAAAACTCCACTCCCCAGGTTCTTGCGGTGGGTCTGATGGCTGTCAGGGAGGCCCATAGACATCCAGGGGCTTAAGTGTCTCTATGTGATGCAATGCTTCAGTGGTCATGTTTCATGTCTACTTTCATATTCCACTTCTGGACCTGGTTCCTCTTTTTCTTAGAAGGTAAAATCAGTAAAAGTAACATAAATATGAATGTCTTGACAAGTACAGAACAGCGCTGACAATTATGCTCCTTCCCTTGTTTTGGCTTCTTGAGAGTCCTGGGCCCCTACCTAGATGACACGTGATGTACTTTGACCCTATCACTGACCACCAATCCCTTGCCCTACCTACCCTGCCCCCAGCTTTGTAGTCAATAAAAGTCAGAGTGTGCGGACACTCGGGGCCATGGCCGGACTCTGCACTTTGGTTGGCAGTGGACCGCTGGGCCCAAACTCTCTTGCTCCCGATCTCAGTGTATTGTGACTATTCCCAGTTTCTCGTCTCCATACCACTAGAGAGGGGCTCACAGGACCCTGTAGGGCTGGACCCTACATCTGGCTCTCCAACCTGGGTTTCTCTCTTGTGTGAATGTACGCATTGTGCGTGGAAGCAGAGGATCTTTGGGTGAGAAATTCCTGAGGACTGTGATTAACAAGCTTGTGGTAAGCTTAGGTGCCTCAGAGGAATCCAGGGTAATCGTGGTACAAGCCAGTACGAAATGCTTGGCCTATCTTAATTTTATTAGAATTCTTCAAAAAGGAAGGTCACAGTTTCTTCTGAGAAATTTATTCAGTTGTTGGAGGTTATGGATCAGTTTTGCCCCTGGTTCTCCATTGAAGGACCTTGAAACTCCAGGATTGGGATAAGGTCAGCCACCATCTTAAAGTGACTCAAAAGGAACGGAGTATTTTTCCTGTTGCAATCTGGTGTATTTGGTCTTCTGTACTGTCCTCAAGTCTCTGCAGACAGAGGAAGAGTCCTTGGAGGCCGACTCCTCCTTCCTGTCTTCAGAGGAGGTTGAGGAGATTGTTGGGTCACTTTCTCTGGAGGACACAGCCAAGATTGAACACGCCATTGCTAATATGGAGGTGGACCCAGAATTCACTTTTGTCTCTCCACCTACTCCTAAGCCTTCTGCACCACCTGTTACTGTATCTGATGACCTCATGCGTGAGTTACAGACTATTGATTGGCAAAGCCCGATTGAGCAGTCCATGCAACGGCCGTCGTGGCCAGAAGCTTCTGCCCTCTCTCAGCCTGCTGTAGGGCTGTGAACCATCCATCTAATCAGCCCAGTGATGAAGCTCTCAACTCTATCCTTGTTCAGGCTTGCTGAAAGGCCCTCAACTCTGTCCTGTGCATCAGGCTCCTCAGAAGTCTGCTCTGTCGTCCATTGGTCAGCCTGGTTTTCAGGCCCTTGAAAGACCTCCTCTGCAGGTAACGGATTCACAGCCTGGTCCACAGCCCTTGAAAGATGCATCACAGGTAGCCACGGGTCAGCCTGGTTTAAAGGCTCTCAACCTCTCTTCTCAGCATTCCAATTTCCTTTCTGTTTCTGGTCCATCCGTGATTGTGGTTTGCTCCCAAAAACAAATGTCACATACATAGGTGAGGATGATATGCCACTGACGACAGCTATGACTCAGGCTCATGAATATGGGGATTCTGAGGCGTCGCAGTTTTCCATGTTTTTGCAGCCTCCTATACCTGCTACTCCCGTCCCGGCACCCCCTGGCACTAATCCACCTGCTGTTCTTGCTCTGCAAGCCAATGGCACCTAAGGGTGCACAGCCTGACACTCAGGCACCAACGCCTGTTTCTGAGTACCCTGTGCCCACTGCTGCTGGTATTCCTGGTGTACAAGCTGTCACCCAGTCAGATCTTCTCAGTCCAGGACCGCTTCAGGTGCACATGGCAAATTGGGACTGCTCTGATTAAGTTTTTGCCTGATGACGATTTGCTTTCACTTTTTTTAAAAAAACAATTCCAGGCTACGCTTCAAGCCTGGTCTTCCCCTTTCTATATTACTCATATTCATTCTGATTCTCCTTTGCCAGGGCCTCTTTCAGCAACCAGTGCTAGAGCTGATGCATTAGTCACTTCTGCAATTGATTTTCATGCGGTAACTCATACTAATGCGGAGAGTTTAAAAACAAATTATCCATTACTTGGAAACAAGCTAAATCTACTGTCCAACAGTGTCCTTCTTGTCAGGTTTTAGTTCGACAGTGACTTTCCTTTGCAGTTAACCCTAGGGGACTTTCTCCTAACACTCTTTGGTAGATAGAAGTTACCCATGTTCCCTCTTTTGGTAGACTCTCTTTTGTGCATGTTACTGTTGATAACCTTTTCTCATTTAACGTGGGCTACTTGCCAGACAGGAGAAAGCACCGCCCACCTGAGCCTCCCAAAGTGCTGGGATTACAAGTGTGAGCCACCGCACCTGGCTGTATGTTTTAAATCACTTTGATCAATGTTTATAGATTTCATGGTACAAATTTCTCAGCTTTTTACATTGATTCCTAAATATTTCTTACTTTAGGTTCTCTAACAAATAGAAGTTTTTTAAATTTTCTTTTAAAATTGTTTATTGTTAATGTATGGAAGTTAACCTAATTTTTGGTGCTGATATTGTATTCTGCAAATACACTGAATGCGTTTATTAGTTCCAGTAGTATCTTGGTTGACTCTTTGTGATTTTCTATACAGAAGATTATGTCATTTACAAACACATATAATTGTACTTCTTTCTTTCTGATTTGGATGAGTTTTATTTTTTTGGCTATTTAATTGCTCTGGCTAAGACAGCCAGGATTTATTGAATAGAAGGGGTGAGAGCGTTCGTGGACCATGCGAGATCCTACAGGAAAAGCATTCCGTTTTCTCGGACTGGTTATTTCCACTGTGGTCGTTTCATGGATGGTCTTTACATTGTTGCGGTAAATTTGTATCTCTATTTGTTTTGTTTAGGATTACTATGATGACTGGATGTTGAATTTTGTAAACTGCTTTTTCTCCATCTATTGAGGTGATGTGGTTTTTATCTTTCATTCTGTTACAGTGAAAAATGACATTGATTTGCTTGAATATGGGGACCCATCCTTGCATCCCAGAGATAAGTGGCACTTGAATATCTACAATCCTTTTTATATCCTCTTGAATAGAGTTTTCTGGTACAAGGGATCATCAAGAACATGGAAAAATATTAATTATAAGAAAATTGTACTTGAATTTCACACTTGAGCAGCGGGGACTGACAATTAGAATGACGTATTAAACTAAACAAGGTCTTGGGTTGTTTGAGTGGATACCGGAAACTGAAAGTCAGCATGTAGAGCTGGGCACAGTGGCTCACGCCTGTAATCCTAGCACTTTGGGAGGCCGACGTGGGTGGATCTCCTGAGGTCAGGAGTTCAAGACCAGCCTGGCCATCATGGTGAAACCCCATCTTTAAAAAAAGAAAGAAAGAAATAAAGAAATACAAAAAAAGAAAGTTAGCATGCAGAACTGTCTACTACACACAGGAGGTGAAGGAGAAGTTCATATTGCATGACAATAAAGTCAGGGCCCGGAGCGGTGGCTCACACCAGTAATGCTAGCACTGTGAGATGCCGAGGCAGGTGGATCGCTTGAGGTCAGGAGTTTGAAAACAGCTTGGCCAACATGGTGAAACACCGTCTCAACTAAAAATAGAAAACAAAGGCCGGGCGCAGTGGCTCACGCCTGTAATCCCAGCACTTTGGGAGGCCGAGGCGGGTGGATCACGAGGTCAAGGGATCGAGACCATCCTGGTCAACATGGTGAAACCCCGTCTCTACTAAAACTACAAAACATTAGCTGGGCATGGTGGCGTGTGCCTGTAATCCCAGCTACTCAGGAGGCTGAGGCAGGAGAATTGCCTGAACCCAGGAGGTGGAGGTTGCGGTGAGCTGAGATCGCGCCATTGCACTCCAGCCTGAGTAACGAGCAAAACTCCGTCTCAAAAAAAAAAAAAAGAAAACAATTAGGCAGGCATGGTAATGTATGCCTGTAATCCCAGATGCTTTGGAGGCTAAGACAGGAGAACTGCTTGAAATCGAGAGTCAGAGGTTGCAGTGAGCTGAGATGGAGCCACTGCACTAAAGCCTGAGTGACGGAGAAAGACTCTGTCTCAAAACAAGCAAACAAAAAAATTTTTCTATTAATAATTAGTAAGAATAAGCTGCACCAGAGATAAGATCTCCTGGGAGCATTGTCCCTTCTTTTTGAGATGGAGGCTCACTCCTTTGCCCAGGCTGAAGTACAGAGGCGCCATCTCAGTGCAGTGTAACCTTCACCTCCTGGGTTGAAGCAATTCTCCTGTCTCAGCATTCTGAGTAGCTGGGACTACAGCTGCCTGCCACCATGCCCAGCTAACTTTTGTATTTTCAGTAGCAATGGGGTTTCACCTTGTTGATCAGGCTGGTCTTGAAAGCCTAACCACAGGAGATCTACCTGCCTCAGCCTCCCAAAGTGCTGAGATTACAGGTGTGAGCAGTCGCTCCTGGCTTATTCTCCCTTGTTGTGGAATGATAAGGTAACCTTCCTTGAAGCATATCAGTCCGTAACCAGTCAAGGTGCTGCAACCTATGCACTGGTCTTGAATGGAAAATGTGGTGATTCTGATAAAGCTCCGCTGTCTGTCCCTATGCCTGTGAAACCTTAACGTCTCTACTTTGGAATGCTGATCTCATTCATTTGGAGTTGATATTTCTAGTTGGCTATCTTCAAACTTTGTGTTCACATAAACTCTACACTTAATCATATATTCTAAATTTTATTATATACTACTGACATCAGTTTCTGTTGGATTGCAGGAGCCTCACCAGAGAGGGTGCCTGTGGCCATGTTGTGAAACTCACACTTGCCAAAAAGACATAGATTAGGGTTTTTTCCTCTCTTTCGGGATGAAGCTAAGGAGCTGACACACATGGTCACCTCCATTACCAAGTGAAGCGAGGATGAACATGTGTGACTAAGGGTGTTGTCAGGTCCTCTTACCTGAGGAGTTATTAGTGTTTACCTTGAAAACATGTACTTAATGCCTTGTATAGAACAGGGAAGTTTCCTTCTCTCTTGTCAACGTCTTAGCTATTTGCCTACTTCCCATTGTATTCTGGTCTAAGGTTTATTAATAAAGTATTTTATTTCTTTCTCTGTATCGTCGTGGAGATGATTTCTCATTTGAGGGAAGATGTTTTTGTTTTCAGTTATATTTTCTCAACCTTTAAAAAGCGAAGTAAAGAGTATTTCTTGTGCCAAGCACTGTGGCTCACGCCTGTAATCCCAGTGAGCCCAGATCTTGCCGCTGCGCTCCAGCCCAGACAACAGAGAAATACTCTGTCTCAAAACAAAACAAAAACAAAAACAAAACAAAGGTGCGGTGGCTCACGCTCGTAATCATAGCACTTTGGAAGGCCGAGGCAGTCGGCTCACGAGGTCACGAGTTCGAGAACAGCCTGGCCAACACAGTGAAACCCCGTCTCTACTACAGATACAAAAATTAGCTGGACGTGGTGGTAGGCGCCTGCAATTCCAGCTACTCCGGAGGCTGAGGCAGCAGAATCGCTTGAACCTGTGAGGCAGAGGTTGCAGTCAGCCATGATCGTGCCACTGCACTCCCCACCCCGCTCCGGGTGACAGAGCTAGACCCTGTATCAAAAAACCAAAAATAAACAAACAAAAAGGAAAGAAAAAAGTAAATTAAAAAAGGAAAATAATAGATGTCTTCCACAAATGTGCTGGGACAACTAACTGCATATCCACATGGAAAAGTATGATGTTGGATCCCTATGGCACATCATCAATTTTATTTTAAAAAGTTACAAGAGAGCCGGGCGCGGTGGCTCAAGCCTGTAATCCCAGCACTTTGGGAGGCCGAGGCGGGTGGATCACGAGGTCGAGAGATCGAGACCATCCTGGTCAACATGGTGAAACCCCGTCTCTACTAAAAATACAAAAAAGTAGCTGGGCATGGTGGTGCGTGCCTGTAATCCCAGCTACTCAGGAGGCTGAGGCAGGAGAATTGCCTGAACCCAGGAGGCGGAGGTTGCGGTGAGCCGAGATCGCCCCATTGCACTCCAGCCTGGGTAACAAGAGCGAAACTCCGTCTCAAAAAAAAAAAAAAAGTTACAAGAGAGTAAGAGAGACGGAGCAGGAAGGGAGTACAGTGGGAGGGGGTGTTACTTTGTCTGCCAGGCTGGCCTGGACCCCCGGGTTCAGCAATCCTGAGTAGCTGATGCCGATGCTTCCTGAGTAGCTGGGACCTCAGTCCCTGCCCTCATCCCCTCAATTCTGTGTTCAAGCAGCAGGTGGTGACCTGACTCCTCCCTGGCCTGAGCCATCTGTCCTGCCTCCCAGACAGTGGCGTTTGGGAAGTCTCTGAAGCTGAGCTTGAGGTGAACTCTCTCCCGAGTGAATGGAGAGTAGAAAGGGAAAGGGTTTCTATTCTGTTCTGTGGGCGTGTCGGTAACCCCCCATATAGGCACCGAGGAATGAGGGCTAAGCAGAACCCTGGCACACTTAGGGCTTGAGGAATATCTCCCTTTATAGTGTTACTACTCAGCTATTTCCTTTTATATAATCCTTTACATAATCATATATTAGTTTATAGAAATAGGGCTTGAAGAATCCCTTTATATAATCCTCTATATATAATCATATAATTGTTGATAGTATGAGTGCCTAAAGAATATTTCCCTACATATATACCTATAATTATATCTTAGTTCATAATCAGAGGAATGCCTAGAGTGGACACAGTACAGAGCATGAATTAAGGAATAAGCACCTTATAATTGGAGGAATGCCTAGAGCAGACACAGTGCAGAGCATGGTTTAAGGGAAAAACAGCTATACCAGGCCAAGAATCCATGGCCCAGGCGGCAGCGTTCAGTATCGTAAAGATACCCGCTGTATGGCAGGCTTGGGGCGAGAGCCACTCCTCCTGATAAAGGAGTTGTAGGACCTTGCTCCAGTTCTTGTGGAATGCTGCCCTCAGAACCGCAATCCACCTTCGGGATTGTGAACTTTATCAGCTCTTGCTACTGTGCTGCTCGAAAAGCATCTTCCTATAGAATCCATTGGAAGCAGCCAGAGGGTGGCAGTAACCTTGACTGTCACTGCTATGTGACTTACAGCATCCTCCTATAAATCTTAGAAGTAGTTTTCCATAGATAGAAGTATTACACACTGCACCCTCTTCACTTTGCATGGCCCACCTTCAAGCCTCGGTGACCTAATGGGGGTGGACCCCTTACTGCACACGGCCCTTGCCTTCATGGGAACGGGCCCCTTGTTGCGCGCTGTCCACCTCCTGGCCTAGGTGACCTAATGGGGTGGACCCTATGTTTTATTGCTCACGACCCTATCACTATGCTTAAAGATGATTTCACTCACTGCCCTACCCGCTAACCTATACACAATAAATACTCATGCTTCTGGACATTTGGGTCCTCGCCTGACTCCGCTTATAGGTGGCGTGGCCCCCAGAGCCCCACTGCATTTTCTTTGTACTTCTGCGTCCTGTCTCTTTATTTCTCGGATCCTGCGCCTCAGCACAGCATAAGGCTCACCCTACGACCCTGTGGGTACTCAGACCTACATCAGGTGCCCAACGTGTCCTACATGGGCGTCAGAAGGAAAACGTAGTTTCCGCCCAGATACGGCTTTGCATTTCACATTCTGGTTTGCATCCCCGTTCCAGAAAATTCCAGGGCTTTTTACTCACGTGTCAGCCTTCCCGGTGGGTGTAGCTTCCAAAACCTGAGAAACAGGCGCTGGGAGCCAGGCTGAGACAGACACAGGTGTCGGCCGGCCCCGCCCTCTGCTGGTCTTGAAGGGCAGGGTCTCTCCGACCAGCGCCCCGCCCCTTCCTCCCCAGGCCCCGCCCACCTCCCTGCGGGTCCCGCCCTGGCCTGGCTTCTGTCCTGCGCGCGCAGATTCTCGCAAACCCGGAAGCGGATCGCGTGGAGTGAGGGATCCTCCGGGACGCGTGAGTTTCGCTCTGTCTTGCATTAAGTCTCCGCTTCCCCGGTCCCCGACGCTTGTGTACCTGGGACTTGGGGTCCCCACAGAGCTGAAAGTTCTCACCTGTTTTCCTTCACCCAGAGCAAACAGACGTTTCCTTGAAAGTCCGGGGGTCGCTTCCTTTTTGCTTTGAAGTCGCCCTCAGGCTTGTCCCGTCCCGGTGTTTCTGTTATAGGACACTGTATACACTTCCTATCGCGTGGTTCTCCTGCTCAAAACCTTTTTCTGACCCCTCCCGCCCCGCGCTTATTAAAGCCCTCACCCGACAGGTGGATTCCCACCCTGGGCGCCTCCCACCCTTGCCCTCGTCGGCCCCCTGAGCGCAGCGCTGCGGCTCCAGTCTGGGGCAGGCCGCGTCCTCTGCCTGGTCCTGGGATCCTGCAGACTCCATCTTTGTCCTAAGGCGCCGTCGCCCCCACATCTCCCTCCTCGTGAGGGGCCCTGCTGCTCCCCAGGTCTCCCCACTACTTCCCCTGAGCCCGATTTAGGGAGGTGCCCGGGGCCTGTCCTGTGACAAGCGGTGTTCTTGCCTGCCCAGCTACAGCCGCTGTAAAAATGTGCTTGTCCGGATGCAGGCGACTTAATTCAAACCCACCTTTAATAGTGGGGGCCCACGGGATCAAGAGACAGCAGTAGAAAACCTGAGACAGAGAAAAGAGGAATGAGAAACACCCATAACAGATGGCAAAGTAGAGGATGGGTGAGGGATTTGCTAAGAGACTGCAAAAGTGAAAAAATAAAAGGAGGCGAAAAGCAGCTGGAGAAATGTAGAGAAAAGCGAATCGTACAGAGATGAAGGACAGCAAGGCAGGGATGGGGCAGCAAAGAGGGAGGCTCAGGAGAGTGAGGGAGACGAGGAGGGGTTTGGAGCCGGGGCAGACAGAGCAGAGGGTGCTGGTGGCAAGGAGAACAGAGGGAACCACAGCACGGAGGACAGCTGGGGATGTGGGGTGCCAGAGAGTGGAGACGGGGGTATAACAGGGAAGAATTTAACAGGGAGGGTAGAGGAGGTTCAGAGATGGAAGAAGCAGCAGAAATATACGGAGATTGAGGACGATTGGGGAGAAGGAGCAATAAGAGGTTAAATAAGTTGTGAGGATGGAGCAGAAGAGGTGGAATAGGAGGAATAGAGGGGAGAAGGGGATAAACAGCAGGAGAGGAGATGGGGACAAAGAGAGGAGCAGAATCCCAGCAAAAAAAGAAAAAACAAGCTAGAGAGAGAAGGGGAGAATGAGAGAGATGTATAGGATTAGGGAAGGAAGCACAGTAAGGAAGAAAGAGGGGCTGGGTGCAGTGGCTCCTGCCTGTAATCCCTGCACTTCAGGAGACTGAGGCAAGGAGATGCTTCAGTCCAGGAGTTCGAGACCAGCCTGGGCAACATAGTGGGACCCCATCTCTGGAAAAAAAACAAAAAATTAACCTTGTGATGGTGCACACCTGTAATCCCAGCTACTCTGGAGTCCCAGGTAGGAGAATTAGTTGAGCTCAGGAGGTCCAGGCTGCAGTGAGCCAAGATCATCATTCACCTACAGAGTGAGATCCAGTCTCTCAGAAGGAAAAAAGGATGGGGAACTTTGGGTATAGATGAGTGGGTGAGTTCATTGGATTTGATTACTTGTGACATGTTGACTTCTGTGTATATAATCTACTTAAATAGGTTTTAAGTTATTAAAATTATTTTAGTTTTATGAGATTGAGAATTTTAAGATTCCTATCTATGAAACATGTATTTTTGTAAATCTTGGCATCAGAGGTTAGCTTCCACTTGGAATCCCTATTCAGCCAGAGGGCAGTGTCTTATTCAGTTGTGAGTCAGTCTCTTCCCTTTTCCCAGAGTGGGGTAGGAAGTGCAGCAGTGAAGTGGGAAAAGAATTACTTTCTGTTATTACATAATACTTTTAATAAAATTAATTAATTATTATTTTGAGACACAGTCTGCTTCTAACTCCCAGCTGGGTGCAGTGGCGACATCTGCTCTAACTGCAGCCTTGACCTCCTCGGCTCAAGCCATCCTCCTACCTCAGCCTCCCGAGTAGCTGGGACCACTGGGTGAGCCACCAAGCCCGACTAGTTTTTTTTTTTTTTTTTAAGAAACAAGGTTTCACTATGTTTCCCAGGCTGGTCTCAAACTCCTAGGGTCAAAGGGTTCTCCTGTGTTTTTGTTTGTTTGTTTGTTGAGATGGAGTTTTGCTCTTATTGCCCAGGCTGGAGTGCAATGGTTCGAACTCAGCTCACTGCAACCTCGACCTCTTTGGAGGCTGTGATTACAGAGGCCCGCCAGTACAACTGGTTAATTTTGTAGTTTTAGTAGAGATAGTGTTTCTCCATGTTGGTCAGGCTGGTCTCAAAATCCCAACCCCAGATAATCCACTGACCTCTGCATCCCAAAGTGCTGGGATTAAAGGCGTGAGCCATCGCACCCGGCCAGCTGTATCCTCTCATTTTTTCCTCCCAATATACTGCGATTACAAGGATGAGCCATCTTGCCTGACCAACATAGTACCTTTCTTTGTTCGTGTGTTTGTTTGAGGCGGAGTTTCGCTCTTGTTGGCCAGACTGGAGTGCAATGATGTGATCTCGGCTAACCATAACCTCCGTCTCCCGGGTTCAAGCACTTCTCCTCCCTCAGCCTCCTGAGTAGCTGGGATTATAGACAAGCGCCACCACACCTAGCTATTATTTTACTAGAAGGCTGAGGCAGGAGAATCGCTTGAACCCAGGAGGCAGAGGATGCAATGTGCCAAGATTGCACCATTGCACTCCAGCCTGGGCAACAAGAATAAAACTCACGTCAAAAAAAGAATGGGGCAGGAGAGGAGAGGGGCATAAAATAAGCAGAAACTCAGTGGGAAAGGCAGAAGGAAACAGATGGAGAGAGAAGGTGAGAAAGAACTGGGTGCAGAATGAGGGAGGGAAACAGTAATGAAAACGAGGGGGACCCTGCGTGTAGATGAGCACTGAGTTGACTGGATGTGATGATTAAGTTATGACATGTTGCTTTCTCTCTTTATAATGTAATAAATGTAATTTTGTTTAAATTTACCAATGAGAATGAGAGCTGCCAACCTCCTGTCTAAGTGTGGCGCATTTTATAATCATGGTGTCAGAGGCTAGCTTCTCTTTGAAACCCCTGTTCAGCCGGAGGACAGTGATGTGACCCATTAGTCATGTATCACCCTCTTCCCTTTCCATGGGTGGGTGGGGAGTGGGGCAGTGAAGTAGAGGAAGAAGTGGCTGAGTCTGTTACTACATGGAACCTAATAAAAAAGAATGTTAAACGTGCTTTTGGGTCGGGCGCGGTGGCTGCCGCCTGTAATCTCAGCACTTTAGGAGGCGGAGGTGGGTGGATCACCTGAGGTACAGAGTTCAAGAACAACCTGACCAACGTGGAGAAACCCCGTCTTTACTAAAATTACAAAAGTTTAGCCTGGCATGGTTGCGAATACCTGTAATCCCAGCTCCTCAGCAGGCTGAGGCATGAGAATCACTTCAAGCCGGGAGGCGGAGGTCGTTCTAAGCCGAGATCGCATCATTACACTCCAGCCTGGCAATAAAAGTAAAACTCCATCTCAAAAAAAGACAAAAAAAAAAAAGTAGAGGACTTTTGTTCTCATTTTGTAATGAGTTTCCTTTTTTCTACTTCCTCCCATTTCATTAGTTGTTTATTATTTTTTAATTTTCTTTTTTTTTTGGAGACAAAGTTTTGCTCTTCTTGCCCAGACTGGAGTGCAATGGTGAAATCTTGACTGACCACAACCTCCACCCCAGGGGTTCAAGCGATTCTCCTGCCTCAGCTCTTGAGTACCTGGGATTACAGGCGTGCACCACCATGACCGGCTCGTTTTCTATTTTCTGTAGAGAATGGGTTTCTCAACCTTGGTCAGGCTGGTCTGGAACTCCTGACCTCAGGTGATCTGCCTGCCTCAGCTTCCCAAAGTGTTGGGATTGCTGGCGTGAGCCACTGCGCCTGGCCTTTTAACTTTCATTTTTATTTTTTTCAGACACTGTTACTGTTGCCCAGGCTGGAGTGCAGTAGCAGGATCACAGCTCACTGCAGCTGCAACCTCATGGGCTCAAGTGATTTTCCCACCACAGCCTCTCCCTCTGCAGTAGCTGGGACCACAGGCACGCCTCACTAGGCCTGGCTAATGTTTATTTATTTATAAATAAATAATATAAATATATATATATATATATATCCTTTTCTTTTTTTTTTTTTGGAGACGGAGTTTCGCTCTTGTTACCCAGGCTGGAGTGCAATGGCTCAATCTCGGCTCACTGCAACCTCCGCCTCCTGGGTTCAGGCAATCCTCCTGCCTCAGCCTCCTGAGTAGCTGGGATTACAGGCACGTACCACCACGCCCAGCTAATTTTTTGTATTTTTAGTGGAGATGGGGCTTCACCATGTTGACCAGGATGGTCTCGATCTCTTGACCTTGTGATCCACCCACCTCGTCCTCCCAAAGTGCTGGGATTATAGGCGTGAGCCACCACGCCCAGCTATATATCATTTTTTTTTTAGACTCTGTCACCCAGACTGGAGTGCAGTTGCACAATCTTGCCTCACTGCAACCTTTGTCACCCATATTCAAGCAATTCTCCTTCCTCAGCCTTCTGAGTATCTGGGACTACAGGCGTGCCCCACCACTCAGCTAATTTTTGAATTTTTTGTAGATATGGGGTTTCTCCATGGTGGTGAGGCTGGTCTCGAACTCCTGACCTCAAGCGATCTGCCCGCCTTGGCCTCCCAGTGTGCTGGGATTACAGGCATGAGCCACCTCACCCGGCCAGGTGTTTTTATTTTTAGTAGAGACGTTGTTTCACCATGTTGGTCAGGCTGGTCTCAATCTCTTGACCCCAAGTGATCTGCCTGCCTGGGCCTCCCAAAGTGTTGGGATTACAGGTGTGAGCCACTGTGCTGCATCCTCGCTTTGAGTTTCTGATTAGCCTTTCCAAAGACAGCAGTCAGATACACATCTATGTCAGGGAGTAGAGGGGTGGCTTTGAATAGAAGGGGATTGTGCTTTCCTAAGCAGATCCCAGCTTGGCTTTTCCCTTTTGCTTAGTGATTTTGGGGCCCCAAG